CATTTCCAATATAAATTTTATCTCGCTTGAGACAGTCTCATTTAATGCAGATGATTATCTCACTTGAGATTGCTTTTTTAAAACAGACTTTGTCTCACTTGGGACTGTTTTACTCGAAAGAAGATTTATTTCACTCATGATTGTTTTTCTTAAAATAATATTTGTCTCGCTTGAGACCGTTTTCACTAGAAGAGTTTTTTCTCTCTTGAGACAGTTTCCCTTGAAACAAATTTTGTCTCTCTTGAGACAGTTTCTCTTGAAACAAATTTTTTTCTCTCTTGAGACAGTTTCCCTTGAAACAAATTTTGTCTCTCTTGAGACAGTTTCTCTTGAAACAATTTTCGTCTATCTTGAGACAGTTTCCCTTGAAATAAATTTTGTCTCTCTTGAGACAGTTTCCCTTGAAACAAAATATTTGAATATGTTTTCTTTGAAACAAATTCCGTCTCCCTTGAGACAGTTTCTTTTGGAACTAAGTTTTGTCTCTCTTGAGACAGTTTCTCTTGAAACAATTTTCGTCTATCTTGAGACAGTTTCCCTTGAAACAAAACCTTTGAATTTATTTCCCCTAAAACAAATTTTGTCGCCCTTGAGATAGTTACTCTTGAAACACAAAATCTTCAAATTTATTTCCCTTAAAACATAATTTTGTTTCCCTTGAGACCATTTCTCATGAAACAACAGATATCTTTGAGATCGTTTCCCTTGAAACGAATTCTATCTCTTTCAAGACAACTTCTTTTGAAGCATCATCTGAACTGTTACACTCAGCTCAGGCACATACTTGAGATGGTCGAGAAGCATTTCTCAAATCAAAAATAGAATGTGCACATCAGATTTGAACATTTGAAGAATTCGAGATCAAGGATCAGAACTTGAAGATTCCAGAACTAAGATTCCAGAAAAGTAACCGGAGATCGAGATTTCTCTCCTGAGCCCAAAAATAACATATGTTGCATATGCATTTTTAGGCATACCTAAGAGCATTGCATCCATCTCATCACATATATGCATAACTTTTTCAGGTTTTAGCTAGAGTCAATTTCAACTTCGCAGCGAAGGATATTGCACTCAAAGCGACACAATTTGCTCGAGAGTGGATTTCAACTTCACGACGAAGGATATCTAGCTCGAAGCTAAACTTCACAATAAAGGGGTCTCCACGGTTTCAACTTCACGGCGAAGGGAATTGTGTCCACCCGCAACATACAATACTTGGATTTCAACTTCACGACGAAGGATATTCAAGTCAAGGCTCAACTTCACAACGAAGGGGCCATCCGCGATTTCAACTCCACGACGGAGGATATCGTGGCACTCGAGACAACACAAGTTCAACTTCACAACGAAGGGACGGCTGGTTGTCAACAAACAACTTCTCAATTTCAGAGCCAATTTCAACTTCACAATGAAGGATATGGACTCCAGACAACGCAAGTTCAACTTCACGACGAAGGGACCGCTGGTTGTCAATAAACAATTTTCCCAATTTCAGAGCCAATTTCAACTTCACAGCGAAGGATATTGGACTCCAGACAACGCAAGTTCAACTTCACGACGAAGGGACCGCTGGTTGTCAACAACAACTTCCCAATCTCAGAGCCAATTTCAACTTCACAACGAAGGATATTGGACTCCAGACAATGCAAGTTCAACTTCACGACGAAGGGACCGCTGCTTGTCAACAACAACTTTCCAATCTCAGAGCCAATTTCAACTTCACAACGAAGGATATTGGACTCCAGACAACGCAAGTTCAACTTCACGACGAAGGGACCGCTGCTTGTCAATAAAATTTCATTCAGAGCCAATTTCAACTTCACAGCGAAGGATATTGGACTCCAGACAATGCAAGTTCAACTTCACGACGAAGGGACCGCTGTTTGTCAACAACAACTTCCCAATCCCAGAACCAATTTCAACTTCACAACGAAAGATATTGGACTCCAGACAACGCAAGTTCAACTTCACGACGAAGGGACCGCTGCTTGTCAACAAAATTTCATTCAGATTCAATTTCAACTTCACAACGAAGGATATTGGACTCGAGACAACACAAGTTCAACTTCACAACGAAGGGACGGCTGGTTGTCAACAAACAATTTCCCGGTTCCAGAGCCAATTTCAACTTCACGACGGAGGATATTGGACTTGGAACAATGCTACTTACTTGGATTTCAACTTCACGACGAAGGATATCCAACTCAAAGAAAGATTATCTGCCATCAAAATTGTCGAGTTCGACTCCATTCAGCTCGATGATACTTCAATCACACTACTGTTCGGCTGCAATCAAGGTTTTCAAGTCGAGAAGAAGACCTGGGTTAACCGTGTCTTAGTGACAAGAAACTGCTTTCCGACAGCATAGCTTAAATCGAGAAAAGCTATCTGTCAACGAATACCTTTCGAGTTCGATGTCATTCAGCTCAAAGGTCTATCAACCATATGGTGGAGTCAAAGAACTACTTTCTAGTCGAATTTTTAACCAAAGTCTTTAAATCGAGAAGAAGACCGAAGTTAATTGCAATTTGGCAACGAGAAGCCACATTCCAATTCCGAACTACGACTTTTTCATTTCGAGATGGACTCGACTTCGCTACGAATGAGCCATTCATAACCCCATTCGATAGGGAGTTGTTCTATTCAATCTTCAACTCCACCGGACGAAAATTTGTGTCTTTTTGTCTTTGTCCTATTTTTCGTTCCACGAATTCATTCCACGAAAAAGGACAAAGAGGGGCAGCTGTAGACACCCATTTTCGTCTCATTTTTTTGTATATACATATATATATAATATAGTTTTGAAAACATATTTGAAACATCTATATATTATATAGTTTTTAAAACACTTTGAAAATAAATATAATATATAGTTTTTAAAACGTTTTTAAGAAAATATATTATACGGTTTTAAAAAACATTTTTAAAATAAATATAATTTTTTAAAAAAGAAACATTTTGAAAACATATATTATAGTTTTGAAATCATTTTAAAAAACTTATAATATATAGTTTAAAAAAAAACATTTTGAAAACTATATAATTTGAAAACGTTTTTAAAATATATATAATATATAATTTTAAAATACTTTTGAAATATATATTATATAGTTTGTAGAAAATATTCATATTATTATTATTATCGTTGTTGTTTATTTTATTTATTTATTTTTATTAATTTTATTTTCATTTTAATTGTCCAGGTCTATTTTGGGGTCCAAGTGAGCCAAGTCGGGCCTGAGCCAGCCCAGTTTCTGAGCTAGGGTTTCTCAACTTAGTCCCAGCGCCGCATGGCTTATAGCCGTTAGATCGAGCAGTGATCAACGGCTCAGATCGCGTGATTGCTAGGGTTCTGAAGCCCTAAAAGCTTCATCAAATGCGCAGCCAGATCTGGACCGTTGGATCTGACCCAATCCAACGGTCGAGATCAAGGGTTCCAGAAGATCTAAAGTCACCGGCCAGCCGAGGATTCCGGCCACGTGCAGCACCAAAATCGGAGCTACTCGGACTGAACCATCCGAGATCACCGAGAACGACCCCGGAATATCCGGGATCGACCCCAAAATAGTCGGAAACGGACCCCCATCGGGGCCTATAAATACGACGGAGATAACCCCGAGAACAGGGGGATAAAAAGCCATAGCCACAATAAACCAAGAAGGAACCAGAAGAAACACAATACCCACGACGAACATCACAACACCACAACATCAATACAGCATCAACAATACAAAACACACGAAAACAGAACCAAACAGACATCAGTAAGCAAACCACAATAGAAGCAGTAACAACCAAAAGCCAAGCAAAATAAGGAGCAAGCACCGGGAAGACGAAAAGCCTCGTCGGGAAGAAGGTAAACTCGAGGGTTTTTTTTTTTTTTTTAGATCTACTCCGATCGGTGAAATTATTGGGGGTATAGGCTTCGGGTTAGTGTTCGCTACGTGGAGGGGATCATTTTGGTAGGCTTGGATTTATTTCGGCCACCGCTAGCGGTGGCCGGCGTGGTGGCCGGCGCAGCGGAGGTGGCAGCCGGACAACCCCAGGCGAGGGAGCCTCAGAGAGATCGTTGTCTCTCAAAATTATGAGAGATGAGTGAAATGAAAATGAGAGAAAATTAGGGGTTTTAAGCCTTTTATATACGAAGGACCAGAGTGCAATTACAGGATTGTCAAATCCTTTCCGCCGTCCCTGATACTTTGAGTCGCAATTCATTTGGTCACTACCTGTAAAGTTGCCTCCGAATTTCCAATTTAATCAATTTGGTCCATGCTTATATTTTTATATTTCGTGAATTGGCACCTAACTTTTTCTTTTCTCTTTTGCAGTTCATTTTAATACCAATCTAGTCCATTAATTTCAATTTGTCTCAATTTGATCCTCTAAGTCGATACCTTATTTTATTCTTTTTTTATGTTTTTTTTTGATTTATCTAACACTTGTCTATTATTATATTTTCTAACATTTTTGACCTTTTTTAGAAGAACTCCAACCAATCAAAGGTAAGTAATGTGAATCGAGTTTTTAAATTTAAATTTAAATTTTAAATTTTCGCAACTAAGACAACCGACAAATTAATTGGTACCGAAAGGGCGGTTCAAGGGTGCTAACCCTTCCTTGACCGTAATCGACTCCCGAACCCGACACGTTTCTGGTACAACGCAGATCAGGTAAGATGGTGTCCGACCCACCTAAATTCATTTTAAAATGGTCGGTGGCGACTCCCAACCCAATCACTCAAGTCAAGCCCAATTCCGGGGCCCAACCCGAAAGACGGTTGCGACAATCCCTATACTTGTGTCTGTTATTTGTCGGGCAAATGCATAAAACATGGGTATTTTAGGAAAATAAAGAGCCTAGAAACATAGATTCTTATAAGTTCATCATTAGGTTGTTCTAGTTGTTTCTATATGGGTTGTAAGATCTGCTTTAGAATGCACACTTTCAGTTAGTAATTCCTTTTTCTTCTTTCTGATTTCCATTTTTCTTTTTATGTGAAGGTGGGGCTTCGAGTTCAAGGTCTAGGGTTCGACATGTAGATTCCTTTGGTGACTCTGAGGTACTTCGATTCTGCCTTTTCCTAATTGTTACATGCAAAAATCTCTAGTTGATTTTTGCTTCTCACTTCGTTATAAGTCTATCGATTTCACAGGACACTCCGGAAGAAGCTAAGTCAGAAATTCCGGAACCAAAACAGAAGAAAAAGAAGAAGAAAAAGAAGAAAGAGAAGAAGAAGAAGAACAAAATGAAGAAGGTTGCCTTTTTTTTTGGCTTCTCACTTCATTATCGGTCTATCGATTTCACGGGACTATATGCTTTCACTGTTTCAGGTGGCAGAGGAGATTGAATCTACATTGAAAAGACCTAAAAAGAAGGTCAAACTATGATCAAATTAATAATGCTTTAAAGACATCTTTAATCTTTTTTTAAAAAAAGTTATAGGATTTAAACACTCGGGGATCATCTAAGAAACACAACAATGGATCACTGAAGAAGCCGCAAAGGGCTGCTGGGAAGGGTTTGGTTTCTTTAGACAGTAAGCCTCCAAAAAATCCTTTGAAAATTAGAGGGTTGTTGTGCATTTTAGGACAAATCTAATTCTTGTGTTCTCACATTAGCTCATTGGTTTCATTTGACAACATTATTTAGTTAAATGCATATAGGTTTTTAATATTACAATGATAAATTTTTTGGTAAAGTATCCAACTATTACTTTTGTTTCGTTTTGGTTATTTAATTTTTTTTTTGTTTTAAAATAGAATACCAATAATTCCTTATTTATGGTTTAATGTACAACTGTGTGCACAGTTATTTATGTATTAATTCAAGATACACATAACAATGGATTGCGACTACACGTGGAAAAAAATTCTATACCAAATAATTTCAACGTACATATGTCATTTGATCCGAGTTTCTTACGTAAAGGGTAAATTATATTGGCGATCTTTGAAAATTTAAAGTACTTTCATTTTAGTCATCAGATTTTTAAATTTTACATTAGAGTAATTAAATTTTAATATTGCTTTCATTACAATTGTTATCGTAGCCGTCCATGATAATTGTTTTTTTTGGATAAATTGAATTTTATTACCCAATGAAGCAGAGTTTGCTACAATCAAATAAAGAGATCAGGGACAATCCGATCCAATAAAAGTCGAAAACCATTCCAAAAAACAATTACCGAAAAAATCGATAAAACCGAACTGAGTCAATAGATGGCGTGCTCACGCCTTAACTGAAGGATTCTTCTGCGGTAGTTTTGGATGAATAAGCCGTGCCTACGCCTTAACTGGAGACTTCTTCTGCAGTATCTCATGATGGATAAGTTGTGCCCACGCCTTAACTGAAGACTTCTTCTTCGTTAGGTCTGGATGAAAAAGTCGTGCCCACGCCTTATGTGAGCGCTTCTTCTGGTATTGCCCAAGAATTACATAGGAAAATATTAACACTATCAGACATGTTAATGTTTTTTAACCTCAGCTTAATACCTACAAATTCTTCGATGCAAATAAAAAGTTCATCGGTAGATCTTGATCTTCCTTGAAAGATTCTTCGATTACGCTCTTCCCACAAAACATAGATTCTAGCACACCAAGCAAGTTTTAAAATAGTGGAAATAAGAGACTTGCCTTTCCAAGAATTGCATGCCCAAACAATCATGTCCTCCCAATAAGAGTTGGATTTTTTAACCCATTGTGTTGTAAAATGATCTCCTATAAATTAGAAGCCATTGGACATTCAAATAATAAATGAGACCGAGTTTCCAGTGCAGCATTACAAAGGACACAGTCCCCAGTAGTGTTCCCCATTCGTTGAAGTCGATCACGAGTTGGGAGACGGTTAAGAATTGTCATCCATGCAATTATACTGAGTTTAGGAATATGGAGTGGGTACCAGATCAAGGTATGCCATGGAACTTTATTCTCATTCATCCTAATTTCCTGTCAAATATCTCTTATGGTGTCCATGATAATTGTTGGTAGTTGATTAGTTGTTATTTTATTTAAAAAAATTGTATCTTTTAATAAGATAGATATGATATAATCTTATTAGTGAAAAGTTAAGTTAGAATATGGATGTTTGATGTCATAAAAAATTGACCTTTTAATAGAAGCATTGCTAATTTCGTCTGGAACTCTAAATCGGTAAAGTACATTCACTGGATTAAATGGGACAGTTTATGTAAACCAAAATCTCACGGGGGTATGGGGTTTTTTGATATTAAAATTAGAAATCGTTCTTTGTTAATAAGTGGATTTGGAGGTATAGTTTGGAAAAGGATAGCTTATGGAGGAAGATTGTTGAAGCTAAGTACAATTATGATCAAGACGCAATCATTCCAAAAGTTGTTAACAAGAGATCTTCTTCGTGGGTGTGGCGCGGTATTGTGAATCTTGTTGGGTCTTTGGACTCTGATTTCTTGGCGGATTTGAGGTGTGTTATGGGTAATGGGTTAATATAGATTTTTGGTCTGATTTTTGGACTGAAAACCCTTCTTTAAAAAGCTCGTTCCCCTGTATTTTCAGTATAGTTGTTCAAAATTCGGTAAGATTAAAGATTTTGGTTGTTGGGTTCAAGGTCGTTGGGAGTGGAGGATTCTATTGAGAAGAGCTTTTTTCGATTGGGAACTGCCTATATGGGATGATTTCTTGCTCGTTTTAAGCAGAGCGGTTCCTACAGTTTTTGGCCCGGACATATTAGTATGGCATGGTTCGTCAGACGGTATTTATAATCCAAAAGATTATTGCTTTAAAGTGGCCACTGAAGTTTTGTTGGATGATCCTGTGTGAAGCCTAGTTTGGTCCAAACTTGTGCCGCCTAAGGTCACTGCTTTTGTGTGGAAAGCAGTGCATTTTAGATTGCCAGTTATGGTAGAGCTGATAAAAGGGGATTCAATTGTCCTGATCAGGTTTGCTGTCTTTTCTGTAACCTTGAGCCGGAATCGATCAATCACGTTTTGTGCCATTGTTTTGTTGTTTGGGAAGCTTGGCAAAGATGGTGCTCGGTATGGAATGTTTCTTTAGTGCTTCTTCGGTTTTGTTCGTCTGATCATATTTTTAACAAAGCTTTGCTTCAGATAGGTCTTTGGGCGAATTTCTCTTGGCCGTGAAGTTTCTTGTGGTCTCTGATTTTATTCGGAACCTGGAAGCTATTGTTCGAGGTGCTTGCTAATGGAGTTGATGTTGATGTTCTTTCAGTGCTGCAAGCTTTTGATTGGGGTGGTCTAATTCGGCTATAGTTTCTGTTAGTGGTCGCAATTCGACTATAGTTTCGTCGATTTCTGTTGCTTGCCTAAGTCTTCTGCTTTGTTCTTTAATGTTCCAGTTGTTCTCTGCCGGTTGTTTTGATTGCGTTAGTTTTGCTCGTGTTTCGGGGGTGGTTCTTGTTTATGTCGTTTTAAATTTTCGATGTTAGCTACTTGTTCTAATGATCTCTTCACTTCAGGGTGTACTCTTTTTCCTCCAAATAGGTCTAGGGAGGTTTTTTAATGAGATCCTTAGAGTGATCACTTTGTTATTTCGATAATACAAAGTACATGTTTTCAAAAAAAAAATACGAATTTAATTGTTGGTTCCTTTTAGTTAACGAATTTTAATTTCTTTTTATCAAATTGACCCAAATATAACGTAGCACTGAAATGTCATTAAACTAATGTGACATTTTAATAATGTTAACTATTTATCCTGATTAAAATGTTCACATTATTTATTTTCAATCTCTCTCACTACATAAAAATGTCAGAAAATATTAAAAAGCTATATATAACAAAACTAGTGTAAATATTTCAATAAAGATGATATAGTTATTCTTTCGATTTTTATGATGTATCAGGAAGGAATAAAATAGATAACATTAGCTTAACAACGCCATTAAAGTACATATTTTATTCAATTTGATAAAATTTAAATTAAATTTTTTAGCATAAAAGGGACGAAATTAAAGTGTAAGGGTTAAAATGAGTAAAATGATAAAGTTGGGGGTCAAAAAGTTTATTCTACCAATAGGTTTTTATCCAATAGGTTTACTGTACTGAACCTATGAATTTGAAGAGCGACCCGTCTTGCCGATTTCCATGATTCAAACTTGAAAGCTTTTCTGGGTAAGTTCTTCCCCTTCTTCTTGTCGTGTTTGAAAATGATTAATCCTCGCAGTAGCAAAAGCATCACCAATTTCCTCAATCTTTCACGCATTATCACAAACATTCCTTTCTCCAACGACCCATCACTGTTCTTCGCAGTCCGATTCATCTCGAAACCCCCTTCCAATCAATCTACATCTTTTACCATTTCTTACCTCAAAGACAAACTCGGATTCTTGCCGGAATCTGCCCTGAAACTCGCCAATCACGTCAATTTTAAAACCCAGAAAACCCAGATTCCGTCCTTCATTCTTCGACCAATACGGGTTCTCCGAGACCCAAATCCGAAAAATCATCAAAGCCCGACCGAGCTTGCTCTGTTCCGATGTGCAGAAAACCCTTTTACCCAAAATCCAGTTCTTTCAATCCAAAGGTATCCCGGACCCCGAAATTTCCAGGATTTTCTTTTGCGACCCCAGGATTTTTTCTCGTAGCATTAAAAACATGTTATCCCTTGTTTCAATCAACTTAGTGGTCTCCTTCGATCCGAAATGAAGGCCGTCGTAGCTATCAGGAGACACCCGTATCTAATTGCAAGTAATTTAGATGCTTATTTGTTTCCTAATATCAAGACTTTGATAGACAATGGTGTGACTGAATCGATACGGTATCGATGCTGATTTACCATCCGAGGTCTTTGGTTATGCTTCCGGATCGTTTTAAGGAGATTGTTAAACAAGTTAAGGAAATGGGATTGATCCTTTGATGTTTAAGTTCGTTCATGCTGTTATCATGTTTAGAAAAATGAGTAAGCCTGCGATGGAGAGTAAGTTTGATGTTTTCAAGAAATGGGGTTTATCTGAAGAAGAAGTTTGGGAAGCTTTCGGAAATATCCCGGAGTTTTGGAAGCGTCGAAAGAGAAGATCACCATGATTATGGATTTCCTAGTGAACGAAATGCAGTTCCCGGCTTCAACCATCGCTTTTCATCCTACCATTTTCACCCGGAGCTTGGAGAAAAGGATCGCCCCAAGGTGTTTGTTTGCTCGGGATTTGTTGTCGGAAGGTTGATTAAGGACTTTAGTTTGTCAACCTTGTATGTGACTCCGGAAAAGGTGTTTATTGAGAAGTTCGTTAACCAACATGAAGACAGAGCTCCGGAGCTGTTGAAGCTGTACGAAGAAAAGGTCGAATTCGCAATAAGAGGCAAGTACAAGATCGAATCAAGGTAGTTGGACGTAACCATATTAGACCTAGCAGTTTATTTTATTATATTATTATCGGTTTGAATTCTTTCTTGTTTGACTTGCTAAGAATTTGACTCTGTTTAGCACCATTAGTCTTGTTCCGATTGAAACTTTGCGGTGCCTGTTTAACGTTCCTTCTAAATATGCATAAATGAGTTGCAGGAGTATGTTGATTGTACCGGCTCCACTGGCATTGAGTTCTATGCTAAGAAAATT